AAAAAAAAAAAAAAAAAAAAAAAGTGCTTGTCTGGTAAGCAAAGAACAAAGGCCCTATGTTTCTATGTAAGAAGAAAGAACCAAGTTTTTTTTCCTTTCTGACCCACAATGTCAGGCCAACAACTGCAATATGGTCTTTGTGTGAGCATACAAAGAATTTCTAACTACCAATGAAAAATCTCACTAGAAAGAAGGGTTTTATTTTTATTTTTATTTATTAAATTTGTTGGTGGGTTTGTTTTGTTGAATGATCTGTGTTTTTCATCAAGTGATTTTGGGGTGTTTTTCAGGGAAGTTTCAGAGAGAGATATGATAATGGTTGGTACTAAAAGGATTTGATGTGCATTATATATAAAGAGGAAAATGGGGGAAGATAGAGGTGGGTGGTTAAAAGGGGAGCTAAGGGGGGGAATATGTTTTAGTTGGGTTGTTGGTTTTCTTTACATTTTTAGTTTGTTGTTCTTATTATTTTATTCGATGTATTTTATTATTGTTATTTTTTTTATTTTTTTTTTTTTGTTAGTTATTTTGTTGTGTGTGTGTGTAAAATGTTTGGTATAGTTAATTGATAAAGATGAATATCATTACTATTAGCACATTGTTAAAAAAAAAAAAAAAAGATACTTTCATGTTTACCGCCTTCTCAGAAGCCTAGAGACTCGACACACGCCTACAAAAGGACATTGTGAGCGACCTTTGAAGCACAACCCAATACACCTATAGAAGCCCTTAGACTAAATTCAAACTGCAGATCCAACACTCTCAAATGTAAGAGCTCCAATTTTTCAAGGAACGACTAAATAGATCTGACGAACTTGAGTCCAAATCTATCAACAAAGAAGATCTAGGACAGGAGAAGGATGAACGACTACGCGAACACACGCCGGTCTTCACTGGATATCAGGGAGAAGCACTGGCGCCGGCCTTCTGACGCAAGAGGGCGAGAGAGATGTCGGGGACAAGACCCTGCCCCAACCTTCAGTCAAAAGGGGCGAGGGAGACGCCGGTCTTCTGGACGTAGACGTGAATTTATTATAAGTTGAGATAGTTTTGTTTTGTATGTAATGAAAATAAAGAAAAGTACGGTATTATTTTATTTCTAGGATCTGTTAGACACCGCATAAGCCCCGCTTAGGTGCACTGGTCGTTAGTGCACTGGTCGAACGTCTAACGACTTCTGCAACACTGCATGTTAATCGTCATTGTGATTGAAACTTTATTTTGTTTTAAGAAAATTATAGTAGTCGCCTATTGTGATTGAAACTTTATTTTGTTTTAAGAAAACTATAGTAACAAACTTACATGTCAAAAGCAATGTTTGAAAAAGTTTAGGTGGTAAGCAAGTTTTTACGCAATTTGAAGTGAATTAAAGAGCGTAGAAATAGACAATAGATAGTCAATAAAACCTAGTGCATAAAGAAGACCTAAGATGTGGAGAGTTTTTTTTTTTTTTTTTTTTNNNTTTTT